ACGTAATATTATAATATGTTTTATAATATTGTAATTATATTAACCATTTTAATAATATTATTATATTCTATATCATAATTATATAATATGTTATTTAATAATAGTTTTATTGTATTATATTAAATATAATAATAAATATACATTATATTGTACTTATATATGTTATATTATAATATAATATAATATGATCATTATTTTTAATTATTTCAATTATTATTTTAATAATATTATTATATTCTATATCATAATTATATAATATATTATATAATAATAGTTTGTATTATATTAAATATAATAATAAATATATATTATATTATAATTATATATATTATATTATAGTATAATATAATATAGTCGTAATTTTTAACTATCTACAACAATTTAAGTTCATAATTTACCAAACGTTATTACACTGATTTTGGAACCAGCACAGCTATTATAATTATAGTTTACCAAACACTCAGTTACTTTTTGTAATAGCTGTTTCTTCCTTCAGCACAGCTAAAAGTAATTTTTCCAAAATCTACAGCACCACCAAACTAAGCCAATACCTAAAAGAGCCAAAGCTCTTTTTCATGGAACTACCACGTGGCAGTTTCTCAATCTACTTTTTTTTTTTTAACTTTTTTATCTTTATTTTTTTAAATTTTTTTACATTTTATATTTTTGTGTGTTTTAGGCTGCCACGTGGCAGTCCCTCCACCTACCTATTTTTTGTTTTTTGTTTTTACTTTTTTATCCTTATTTTTAATTTTTTTACATTTTATATTTTTTGTACATTTTTTAAAAATATATTGTTCCTCACTTTACTTTTATGAGAGTAATTTTTCGCATGTGTTCCTATTTATTTTTTGTTGGTTATAATAATTTTCTTTAAATGTGTCTCTACTAAATTTTTTTGTCAATTATTATCTTTACACATATTTTTGTTAAAAAAATAAGTTCAAAAATCCTTAAATAGTTGTATATTTGTCATTATTCAGTGAACAATAAACTCTTTAGTGTCTCCAACACGATAATACATGTGGAGCACGTTGCAAAACTAGTGCTATAAAGAAACGAAAGAATTAACATATCAAATTTGTGTAAAAATAATTCTTTTTCTCCTCCTTCCCTCTGCTAGGGTTTATTCTTTTTCCTTTTGATGTAGTTGCACCTCCTCAACAGGGGAGTTCGAAGTCCCACTATCCGTCACAGTCTCTAGGCTGGTTTCCAAACATCCAACCTAATGGAAGGGTGTCGTACTGAAGGCTTGTTCGGATGAAATAGTGGAGACTGTGATCGAAAATATATCCATTGGCAATCGAGTTAGGATTGGCTAAGTTAATGCTCGTGCCCTCCACCATTGAACTAAGTCAAATGTTTCTGCCGTACCGTCGACTACTAAGCCTTCACTGAGGTATGCCATAAGCTCGTTGAAGCTGCCGCCGCCGCTACCACTGCCACTTGTTGACGAAGATTCACTCCTAGCTTCTGTTTGAGTTGTCTTCTTCTTCTTCTTCAACCTGAAAACATTCAAGAATGAATGCGGGTTTTCGTCTGGTTGTTGCGGTTCCTGTTCTCTAGGAGATACTCTAAACCTAATCTCATATTTACTATAGATCAAAAATATTTTTTCCTTTATTATTGGATATTGGTCCGAACAATTGATGCCTAAAAATTCACTTAAGTTATCTAAACTACTTTCTAAACCTTCTAATTTTAATCTAGGATCAAAAATAGTACCTAAACCATACAACAAAGGCAACTTAGACCAATATTTTATAAATTTCTTGTCCATTGAATGGATATGAACTACTAAGATTGGGTCCTCCCTATATTCGCTAAATAAAATACTAATTCGTAAAAGTTTTTCTAAAGCTAAAGGTGATGTTGGATAATATGTTCCACTAAGTTTTAGAGTCACTTCATGAACCTACCTAAACATTGATACAAAACTTTAACAATTTGCCAATCATATGCATCTATATGATTTACTCCTACTTTTGCACACATATAGTTTGTTATAGCATCTTTATAGGGGATGCGTTGTTGAAGCCTTATGTAAGTTGAGTTTCATCTTATAGGCATATCTAACGCTAATGCTCTAGGAGGTATATTTAATACTTGTAAGAACCTAAACCAATCTTCTTGTCTTTGGTTACTACCTTGAATCTATGCAAGACGATATCTAATTCTTTTAATGTGATTACCCATTTCTTTTAAACTAGATTTAACAATTAAATTAATTACGTGACATGCACAACGTTGGTGGAAAATTGTACCGTCACCGAATAAACTTAAATCATTTTCAAAGAACTCAATTGCTTTTGTATTGACACTAGCATTATCTAATGTTATAGCCATTACTTTATCTCTTAATCTAAATTCATCAATTACATTTAAAATGATATTATATATTAAATCTACACTATGTGATCCTAGAACACATTTAAAACTTAATATTCTCTTATCTAAATCAAATCCTTTAAAGTAATGTCCGGTTACAACTAAATAATCTTTATTGGCAACGACATACCAAATATCTGCCGTTAACGCAACGCATCTGCTAGTCGAGTGTAAAAGATTTATTAATGCTTATTTTTCTTTTTTAAATAATTTTAATAAATCTTTCCTAAGAGTAGTTTTTGAAGTGAACTGTGCATTAGGATTATGTACAACCTTAATATATCTTTGCCAATTAGAATGCTCTACAAAACTAAGTGGTTGATCTAAAGTAGCTATCATTCGTGCAACTTCAATACGATCTACTTGCAGATCGTATTTTCAAGTGGTTAAACCACCGGTTGGCTAAGCTTTTGAAGACACTTTTCGGAGTGTCTTCTCAAGTGTGTGGTGCCGTGAATATTGTCACCTTATAATTTAGATAAACAATTTTTAGACTGAGCTATATGGTTAGTGTTACCTTCATTGTCGATCTCTTCAATTATGTCGAATTGATCCCAAACTGTCGAGGTGCGCTAGCATTTCCTCCTAGAGGTTGCAACACTTGCAGACGCAGTCGCACTGGCACTCGCCGTCGCCGCTTCTCCATGCCCACCACCATTGCGACTACGACCTCTAGTACGTCCAGCAGGGCTCGGATTCCTGCGTAACAAATTCATTAGTGGGAAATTGTCATTCTTCCACGTTGTGTTGGGCATCAACGGGAATACCACTATAACCAAAAGGATCCATTATAAAAAAATAAGAGCAATTTGAGAGAGAGAACTTTAGGATAATGTGATAGTTTTTAGAAGAATTGTGAGAGAGATTTGAGAGCTTGAGAGAGATTGGGAGAAATTGAGAGGGATTGAGAGAGTTTGAGTGAGAAAAATGTGTGGGGGATGAGGGGTATTTATAGAAAATTTTTTGGGTTAAAAAATTGATTTTTTTTTTCAAAAAATTCGGCGTGCGACGGCTACTTTAGGTTCGGCGGGTTGGGTTCAGGCAGGTTCGGGCGAGTTCGGGCAAAAAACTAGCCGTTAGACAGGTTTTCGGGCAATTCGGGCAGCTCGGGCATGTCGGGCATTCGGGCAAAATTCAAGTTTTCAGGCAAAATTCGGGTCGGGCACCAACGGTCTAAATTTTGACTGTTTTTCATGATTTTCAGGCAGTAAGGCGGGTCGGGCATTTGGATAAATCGGGCTTGGTCGGAAAAATTTAAATAAAATACTAACGGACGGCGGTTGACAGCACCTATACGATGGCCGGCTCCGGTGAGGTACCCAAATTCAGGCTGCCTGAGCTGAGCCTAAATTTTCACTTTAAATGGGCCGATATATAAGTCTGCCCACCGAGCCTTAAAAATTTGGGCAGCTGGCCTGCCTGCCGGCCCAAAGCTCCAGACTTAAATATTCTTAAATGATAATTGTTCTTTTCTTTTTCGAACGATCCCCATCGAGACGGGAAAAATAAGAAAGAAATCATTCAAATGCTTTTTTGACACTCCTCAGTCGGTTGTTATCAGCTGCAAGCTTGTCTCTCGGCGAAGTTTTAATTCCGTCTACAACATTCAACAATGGCTCGTCCAAAAGTTCTCATGGTATTCTTGCCAAAAATTCCTCTCTCTTCGCACGAACAAGTTCAGATTCTCAATCCTCATCGTCTTTTGCTTCGTTTGCAGGTCGCGGAGAAGCCCAGCATCGCTCTCTCCATCGCTACCGCTCTCTCTCGCGGTCAAGTAATTCTCTCCCTCTCTGTGTTTGGATGCCGAGAATGTGCTTGAGAAAGGAAATGAATTTGTAGTCTGTTTTTTTCTTTTCACTTTTTTAAGGTTATTTATTGTTTGGAGCGCAAGAAAATCTGTGGGACTGTGTGTGAAATGTGTTCCGAAGAATAAAATTTGGAGGTAGGTGAACAAATTTTCTGGTTTTGTTTGCTTGGAATCAGACAGATTTCCTACGAGTAGGACTGTAGGAGTAGTATTGTGATATGAACCGGACTTGAATTGAGGAATTGAATAGACAAGGAAAACTGCATTGATGAAGTAAGTGAAAGATTACAATGAAAACCCTAACAATGGTGGTATTCGAGAGACCACCAGCTCTCCCCAAGGGTTACCCCCAAATCTCAAATCATCTGACCTCCCCATCCCAAATTGCTAATTCCCCTTTTATACCACTAACCCCACTCTAACCAACTACTAACAACAATTACTACTAATTAGTTATACTCTAACGACCTCCACTACAATAATCTAACAGCTTACTAACCAATCTAACTTCCCAAACATATCATTAACGAGTCCTAACAATTGCTCGTAATAGGGTTATTTAACAGTTAACTGTAAGAATGTTAGTGACTTATCCGGTTGAGCGTTCGGTTGGAACTGTGAAGGGGAGGTTTCAAATTTGGATGATATTCGGCATAATGTTCCTTAAGTTCACCATATAATTTGTTTTATTGTTGAATTTCTAGTCCGCGAGATATGGTTACAAATAGCGCTTTTTATGGAAGAATTTGGGTAACTCGATTTGTGAGGTGAAAGATATACCCTTCTTGCATTCTTAAAGATATACTCTTGTTACACATGTTCAGGGTTGTGACTGTGAGGAAATTGAACTATTGAGTGAAATCGACTTTGTAGGAGTGACATTTTATAGAAGATCAAATTTAATGTATCCTTAATTGAAAATGACAATGCTTCGCGGGCCTCTTCTTATTGGCACGAGACGAGTATTCTAAAGATTTTCAGTGCAGATGCTGAAAGTAATCTCAAAGAAAAGGTGTCCAGTGTTTTTAGTGGACCAAGATAGGTATGTGTTCCTGCAAGATCAGTTGCTCTGTTACAGACTAAGAGCAAGCTTACAAGATTAGGACTTGTCAGTAGGATAGTTCTGTTTGTTCTTCCTTCTTGCAAGAAGCCTTTCTTTCAACTTTGCTTGGAGTGTGGAATTTCATTTAGTTTCATTTCACTGCTGAATGTGTAGGATGGATTACGCACAAAAGATTAGGGAGGATATTAAGTTGATGGAATCACTCTTTTCATGTTCCTATGAAATGTTTGGAAACTTATCCAACATTTGTCTTCATGTGTTTTTTATAAAATGTCTGTGCACTTGTGTTATGTCATGCTTTGCATGATATTTAGTCCGATATTCTATCTATTTTCTCTGGATGATTTTCCATTTTACGATGATGTTATGGTTAAAATTTAAGGGAATTTAGCATACTAGCATTCGAACTCTTGAATAGGATGGCTAAGTTACCTTGAAGAGGTAGAAATGATAACAAAGGGTGGTAGATGTTGTGGAGTTGTTTCGAATGGAGATGGAATGTTTGAATTGGCTTGTTTTCTATGCAATCTCATCTTTGTAAAATAGGGGATTAAATACTTGAGAAGGGTGGGTTGCTTGTTTATTAGTATTTTGAAGGATTTGACTTGGCTTGTCATGATGATCATGCGATAGAGTTTGACGATTTTAGGTCACAAAGAGAACCTAATGTGATGTATACAAGAGGAATCAGGGTCTCGGAAGTTGAAACTGCACTACGGAAAATGAAAAAAAGGGAAGGCATGTGGGCCATATGATATTCCAATAGAGGTTTGGATGGCGTTAGGAGATGTTAGAATTGTGTGGCTCACTAAGCTTTTTAACGAGATACTAAAGAAGAAGCATATGCCTGATGCATGGAGGAAAGTATTCTTGTCTCCATCTTCAAGAATAAAGGAGATGTGCTGAATTGTAACAATTATAAGGGCATAAAGTTAATAAGCCACACTATGAAACTTTGGGAGAGAGTTATTGAAGGAGATTAAGGGCCACAACTACCATCTGAGGTAACTAATTTGGCTTCATGCCAAGCAGATCAACCACGGAAGCCATTTTTCTTCTTAGGATGCTGATGGAAAGGTACAGAGAAGCCAAGACGGATCTACATATGGTCTTTATAGATTTAGAAAAGGCTTATGATAGGGTACCGAGAGAAGTTTTATGGTGGGTGCTAGAAAAGAGAGGAGTGCATGTGAGGTATATCAAGGTAATTAAGGACATGTATGATGGGGTGGTCACGAGTGTGAGAACTGTTGGAGGCTACACGGCAGAGTTCCCCATTCGGTCGGCCTTCATCAAGGATCTGCTCTTAGTCCTTATCTTTTCACCATTGTGATGTATGAGCTGATAAAAGAAATCCAAGATAGAGCTTCTTAGTGTATGCTTTTTGCGGACAATATAGTTTTAGTTGATGAAAATAGGGAAGGAGTTAACTGTAAGTTAGAACTGTGGAGACAGACTCTCGAGATGAAAGGATTTAAGTTAAGTAGGACGAAAACTGAATACATGCATTGTAGGTTTAGTAACTCAAGTAATTAGAGTGATGGAATTTCTTTACATGGTGTGGAGATTGGGGCATCTAGGAATTTTAGATACCTTGGGTCTATAGTGCAATACGAAGGAGATATAGAAGAGGATATTCAACATAGGATTAAGGTAGTGTGGGTTAAGTGGAAGAATGCTACGGGAGTTTTATGTGATGGCAAGATGCCTATTAAGTTGAAAGGAAAGTTCTATAGGACTGCAATCTGCCCAGCTATGTTATATGGTAGTGAATGTTGGGCCATTAAGAGACAACATATATGTAAGATGAGTGTGGCAGAAATGCGTATGTTAAGATGGATGAGTGACCATACGAGAATGGATCGCATAAGGAATGAAGTTATTCGTAGTAGATGTAGCATCAATAGAAGATAAGGTGCGCGAAGGCCACTTGAGGTGGTACGGGCATGTCCAACGTAGACCGCTAGAAGCACCAGTTCGTACTTGGGAGGACATTCTTATACCTAATATTAGGAGAGGGAGGGGTAGACCAAGAATTACATGGATCGAAGTAGTTAGGAATGACATTCTAGATCTTGGCCTTTAGGAAAGTCTAATTTCGAATAGAGCTGCGTGGAAAAGTGAAATCCATATAGCCGACCCCAATCAAGTTGGGATTAAGGCTTGTTGTTGTTGTTGTTGTTGACTTGGCTTGTCATATATTGAGGACTTTAGAGCTCTTTGAAGGATGAGACGCTGGAGAAGTATATTTTATTTTGAAATTTCCTTAACAGTTGTGGGAGGATGGTGCTGACTGATATCATATGGCTTTCTATTTCATGAAAGTATTCTTCTCAAAAATATTGCGTCATCTCTTTTGGTACTTTTGTGCAAGAACAGAAAAGTGGTTGATGAAGTATTTTCAGGCACAATATATGCATAATCTGATTAAGAGAGGACAAATACTCGAATAGACGCCCCCTCTTGCAAACAGACAATAGAATTTGTCGTGTATTGTTAGTCAGCTTGCTCTTATCTATTTGAATTTATTAGGGTTTTGTCCGGATATATTAACATGGATGGTATGGCCATATTATGAGGAGAGAAAAAATAGGTTGGTTTTTGCAGAATCATAGTTGCAGTGATGGGTACTTTGAAGCTTAGGATAATGATAATATGCATGCTGTACTCGCTTAGGATTGCTAATTCTTCTTTATCTTCCTTATATAGATGGCATTTTTCATTTACATAACTACCTTTTCACAAATTGGGGAATATAATATACCCGTTGACACCGTTTTTGACATGTTGTAAAACTCATCAGAAAAAGAAGGCTATAAAGTTTTACATATTTGGATTAGTTCTATTTTCTCTGCAAATATATGCTTTATGTCATTTATGCTTTTTTCTCTTTTGCCATATTTCTTTAAATGGTTTCTTTGCTCCTTTTAGTATAACGGTGTGTTAGGTTTTTGATTGTTGGTTGTGTGTTCTCTGTTTTGACTTATTAGTGAGGATACCTTGTCCTCCCCTTTTATAATCAATTGCTTTTGATCAATAAAAGTCGTTTTCTTATTAAAAGAAATAATAATAATAAAAATAAAACAATAATAATTATTGTCATCATCATAATCATCATCATCTTAAATGTTTTCTATACATGGTTTGAGTTATATCTTCTTTCTCCAGATGAATACGAGGAGGAGTAGTACAGACGTCCATGAATTTGATGGGATTTTTTTGGGATTCCAAGCACATTATAAAGTAACATCAGTGATTGGGCATATTTTCAGGTTGTTGCTTCTCATATACAATTGAAAGAATGGAAAAAGAACTATTATCAACTAGATTTTACTTCCAATTTAGTAATTCACTAAAATGTGTTCTTTAGATTGGTCTTTCTGTTTTTGCTAAGTGGATATTTCATTCATCATTCATGAAAAAGAAAAGAGTATAACGAGTTAGTTATATTTTCCCACAATAATGTTTCTTTTGTTTGTGCATTTAGTGTGGATTTTCCTCAAAAATATCAAGACTGGGCGTTAACTGATCCTCTGGATCTTTTTGAAGCTCCAATTGTTAAGAATGAAGCAAACCCGAAGGTACTTTTTGGTTATTTGCGTCTATTCTCTCTCTTATGCATATCTCTTACGATTTATTTGTTTATTATGCAAAGCTCTTGCACAATCTTCTTGTTCCACTGAATTTTTTCTTACTAAAGCAGTTGGCAAAATGCATAGATTTTCCCCCTGCTTAATAGTTTTATATTAAGAAATTAACAGTGTATATGTAATTGGATCTTGATTTGAGTGATATATTTTTAGATTGGCAAAACTATTCTCATTATGCATTTTGATGGCGCATTGTCATCTTGCTTATTGACACTGGGTGCACTGAACTTTGTTCATTTTTTCATTTTTAGAACTTTTTTGCTTTACCCTTTAAGAGTTCTGTGATGTTGGTTGTGAAAAAAAAAAAAGGATTTTGTGTTTTGATATATATTTTGGTTGCTTCTATTTGTGTAAAGGCTCATATATGTAGGCATTTAAATCAAGAAGCTCGTGGTTGTGGCTATTTGGTTTTATGGTTGGATTGTGACCGTGAAGGAGAAAATATATGTTTTGAAGGTAGCATTCTACTTTCTCCTACTTATTGCTTTCACATACATATTTCTGTTAATTGGCTCTTTGGGATGTACTATTTCTTGTTACAGTGTGCTCTAAGACTATTGCATCTCTTGTACCAAGAAAAAGTTGTGCGTGTGTTTGCGAGTTTGTTTGTTTACACATATCTGGAACATTGTTACTGAAAAAGCTAGTTAAAACAATGTGTCTGTTTGGAATCGTTTCCAAAAACGGTTTTCACGTTTTCCAAGAATTAAAAAATGAAAACTCACACAGAAATGCGTTTGGCACCGCATTTTCTAAAAACAAAAATTAAAAACGTTTTTGTACTTATTCTCAAAAAATCACAAAAACTGAAAACGATCGAGGATCGTTTTCAGTTTCCATTTTTCTTTCCCCACTGCCCCCACCCCTCTCCGACTGGTCCCCCCCGGCAGCCACCCCCACTCTTCTTCCCACTTCCTCTGCAGTTTTCATGTATATAATCATGTTTATTTAATATATTATTATTTTAAATATTATTACATGTTTTTAAAAATTAAACCACCAAACACAATTTCAGTTTTTTTTAAACTGAAAACAATCTCGGAATAAAACTACCAAACGCATATTCAGAAATGATTCCAAAATGAAAATGAAAACGAAAATTTCATACAAAAAACAAAAACATTTTGGAACGAATTCCAAACGCACCCAATAAAACTGCATAACTGGCCGTATGGATGACTTGTCTCTCTTTTCTGGCAAACGAAGATATGTTGGACAGGTTCACTATCTACTTACTTATATGGTCGTTATTGAGTTTAGCAATGAGTAAGGATCCTTCCCGCAGAGGATTAATCTTAATTAACAAGTTATAAATTTTGCGAATAAATTAAAGGGGGTTTTGGATTCTAAACTAAAGTAACTAAAATTAAACAAGAAATTAAATAAAACAATGCTTGAAAGTAAATAAGGAATAATCAATTACAAAAAGACAGTTAATGGATCAATCTCCACCATTAGACTATGAAACTATGTTGAATGAATGATAAAATTCCTAATTTCCTATAGAAATCACCAACCATAGATAACAATAAGCTTTGTTATCCCAATCATTCCTTAGTTTGTCGTTAAATAAAATAAGCTCTTTATTTAATCTCTTTCCCTCAAATAATCTAGAACAAGCTCTCTAGATTCAATTCGACGGAAGCATTAAGTTAAGAAAGAGGTTGATCTAGGCAATAAACAAGCAAGCTCGAAATATTCAACCTAGGTTATGTTCTTCATGCAATCGAATAAAAAACTGCTGCAATTATTGATCACAATTCGCTACCGATAATTAGAAACTCAAGACAATTATGGATCAAGTATTCCTAATCTAACAATGGATAATTTTCAAATCCTAATTTGTTGCGAACCCAAATAAAATAAGAAAATAATCATGAGCAATTAAATTTGAAGAACATAAACGATTCCTATTGAGAAATTGGAAACAATATCAAATCATTCTAACATAAACTCCATGTCTAGGGTTTCAACATCACCCTTAACCAAGAAGAAATCTAGCATCTCATAATTGCAAAATAACGCGAGGAAAAATAAATGGGAAACATATGGAGTTCCAAAGAAAGAAAGAAAAAAGATAAACTCTTGATAATTCTTGGAAAAATCTTCACGTGAATGAATCTCCCTTGAATTTTTGAAGAAATCTCCTTCTTCTCCCTCTTTTTCTCTCTAAAAGGTGGCTAGAAAAATATGAGAATGGACTCTTAATTCAATCGCAAAGTCCCCTATTTATAGGTTTCTAAGTTGGGGTCAAATAGGGTTAAATTCGGGGTCCAACAGAGCTTTCATGGTCAACAAGTCGGCAGATATTGGATCAGCAAGCGGTGGGTGCGTGGGCTGCGCGCGACTATTTGGTGTGCTGCAGGCGCGCGGGCGCACTGTTCTAGAGGCACGGCTGCGCAGTGCCCTCGGGTGGTGTTTCTCTGCGCGCGGACTGCTAGCGCGAGCGCGCGCTGGCTTCTGCTGCTGCCTGCTGTGTGTTGTGACTAGTGCGGGCGCGCTCTGCTGGCTCTGCAGCTGCAGTGCTTGACAAATTTTTTTTTTTTTTGGAAGAATTCTTTTCTTTTCCTTTCTTTTTCAAACATGCCCTCTTTGTATTTTCTTTATTTTGGCGCCCAAGTTGATTTCGAAAAGTCCCAAAATATGTCTAATTCCTTGCTAAAATTATTCCTTCATTCTCTTTTGAAAGTTTCTGAGGAAAAATATAAAACCTTTCTTGATTTAATTGGTAGAAAACCGGAGTATAAATAGGTGTACAACAGACCTAGGTCCCGTGGCTAACAAAATCGGGAAACTAGGAAACCTACTAGGATAGGGAAACTATCCTCAAGATATTCCTAGGATCTTTCCTAAAAAATAGGAACTGCCCCCTAAACTAGGAAAGATATGCTAGCTATTCTAATTTAAGCAATATCTCCTAATTTAAGCAATATCTCCTAATTAATGTACATAATTCAATACTCCCCCTCAAGTTGGGTCATAGATATCTCTTAAACCCAACTTGCTAATACAAGATTCAAACCCTGGTCTAAATAACCCCTTGGTTAAAATGTCAGCTATCTGTTGAGATGTTGGCAGGAAGGGTAAACACACAGTTCCGGATTCCAGTTTTTCTTTGATGAAATGCCGATCTATCTCCACATGTTTGGTGCGATCGTGTTGAACAGGGTTATTAGCAATGCTAATAGCAGCCTTGTTGTCACAATAAAGCTTCATTGGAGCTTCTATTGTTAATTGAAAATCTCCTATAACTTGCTGCAACCAAATTAACTCACATAGCCCATTAGCCATTGCTCAAAATTCTGCCTTTGCACTGCTACGGGCAGCAACACTTTGCTTTTTGCTTCTCCATGTAACTAGGTTTCCCCACACAAAACAACAGTATCCAGTTGTAGACCTCCTCACGGATCCAGCCCAATCAACATTTGTATAGGCTTCAATTGTTCGGTTGTCATGTTTTCTGAACATTAATCCTTTTCCCGGAGACCCCTTGAGATATCTAAGGATTCGATAGGCAGCTTCCATATGAGTTTTCTGAGGGGAGTGCATAAATTGGCTTATCATACTCACAGCAAATGCTATGTCTGGTTTAGTGTGTGATAAGTAAATCAACCTTCTAACCAACTTCTGATATCTCGTGGTATCAACACTGTCACCCTCACTATTCCCGAGTTTTACATTGGGATCAATAGGAGTATCAACTGGTTTGCACCCACTCATTCCAGTATCTTCGAGAAGATCAAGTACATACTTTCTTTGGCTGACTAGTATTCCTTCTTTAGATCTTGCTATCTCCATACCTAAAAAATATTTTAGGTTCCCGAGGTCTTTGATCTCAAATTCATCTGCCAAGCACCTTTTCAACCGAGCCGTTTCTAGAATATCATCACCTGTCAAGATAATGTCATCCACATAGACAATAAGGATGGCAATTCTTCCTTCCTTTGATCTTCTAAAGAAGAGTGTGTGATCTGCCTGGGCTTGAGAATAACCTTGTCTCTTTACCGAGCTTGTGAATTTCTCAAACCATGCTCGTGGTGATTGTTTTAGCCTATAGAGAGATTTCCTCAGTTTGCACACCTTTGAACCAAACTTATCTTCAAAACTGGGTGGAGGATCCATAAAAACCTCTTCTTCTAAATCTCCATTTAAGAAGGCATTCTTGACATCTAATTGTTGTAACGGCCAGTCCAAGTTTATCGCAATTGAGAGAAGAACTCGTACAGTATTCAGTTTAGCTACTGGTGCAAAAGTCTCAGAGTAATCTATGCCATAGGTTTGAGTGAAACCTTTGGCCACCAGACGTGCTTTATACCTTTCCAGTGATCCATCAGATTTGAACTTGACCGTGAATACCCATTTGCACCCAACAGTTTTCTTCTGCTTTGGCAAATTTATAACCTCCCATGTCTGATTCTTCTCCAGAGCCCTCATCTCCTCTAAAACAGCTACTTTCCATTCGGGTACCTAAAATGCATCTCTAATACTCTTTGGAATTTCCACATGTGAGAGTTGAGTAACAATGGCACGGAAACAAGGAGATAGCTTTTTATAAGAAACAAAATGGGACATGGGATATAGAGGACGCCTAGTGCATTCTCTAGTTCCTTTTCTTAGTGCAATAGGTAAATCAAGCTCATTTGAGAAATTTTCCGGGATTGGACTCAAACCTGAAACTTCTGGACTTGGTATCGAGGTTGATTCTTGACCATGCTGCAAGTTATTGGTCAATCCACTTGACTTTGGTTCTCTTCTTGAGAAAACTTTCCCAAACCAGTTTTCAGTGTTATTTCTTGTTCTAATTGGACTAACACTGGAAGGAGCCAAATTTTCATTATTTAA